GGTTAGAATCCCCCACCTACCGCTTCCGCCAGTACCCTAGCTAGGTCTCGCCGTCCCTCCCGTGCGCGTCCCGTCTCTCCTGTCCTGAGCTCCCACCCTATGTTGCTCCGTTCCCGCTCGTCTCGTCCTCCCCTCCTCCCGTCCCCTCCTCCCTCGTCCCTTGCTGTTGCACCTCCTCCGTTCTCTGACTACCTCCGTGCCACTCGTCCCCTTGTCCCTCGGGTCCTTGCCTCTCTTGTTACCGACCCTTCTGTTCCTGTCTCGCGCCTTGATGCGCTTGTCACTACTGTCGCTGACTTCGCCTCTACCCGCCGCCTTGACTACGCTACCGCTCTGGTCTCTGACCCTGCCCGTCCTCAGTCCGTCGGGGGTGCTCCTGCCCTTGGCACTGACGTCCTAGAGGACAGGCAGTACGAGCTTGATTTCCTTTCCGAGGCTGCTCCCCATCTCTGCTCCATGCTGTTAGTCCCTGAGGGTGACCCAGACGCCTTCGACATCCCGACCCCTCGCACCTACGCTGAGGCCACCTAGGGACCTTGGGCCTCTCAGTGGATAGCTGCCATGGAGCAGGAGATGGCATCTTGGAGGTCCACCGGCACTTACGTCGACGCAGTTCCCCCGCCTGGGTGAACGTAGTCGATGGTCGGTGGCTCTTCAAGGTGAAGCGCCCCCTTGGAGAGCCGCCTGTCTTCAAGGTGCGCTACGTGGCCAGAGGCTTCAGTCAGCGCGAGGGGGTTGACTTTTTCCAGACCTTCGCCCCGACCCCGAAGATGAACACTCTTCGGGCGCTGCTACACGTAGCAGCACAGCGCGACTACAAGCTTCACTCCCTCGACTTCTCTACTACCTTTCTTCAGGGCAGCCTACACGAGCAGGTCTACCTACACCGACCACAGGGCTTCACTGGTACCTTCCTCCCTGGGACCCAATGGCTTCTCAGGCGCCCGGTCTACGGCCTCCGTCAGGCTCCCCGCGAGTGGAACGACACGCTGCGTACCACGTTAGCAGACCTGCAGTTCTTTCTGTCCTCTGCTGACCACTTGCTGTTTGTGTGTTCCTGCAGCTCCGGCATTTTTTCGAATTACCCCCTCCGCGCGTGTTTTGAACAGGATGGCGAACTTCGACTATGCCGAAGTTACCCAGCAGCTCTTCGCGCGCATCGCAGCCCTTCAGGAGGAGATGCGAGTGGATCGCGAAGCGTGGCGAAACGAGTTCGAGCGAGTAACTCGACTCGCCGGCGCGCAACACGAAACGACAACGGCAAGGACGCAGCAGTCGCAACAGTTTCTCGAGGCTCCGAAACCGCGCCCACCTGAGCAGTTCGATCCGAGCGATCGAAACTCCGACGTCCGCAGATGGATCGCCGGCATGGAGATCTACTTCGCAGCCGTCGGATGGAGCTCGCCAGCCTGGGACGGTCAACGCGTACGAATCACGGCGACACTGATGCGAGGGCCAGCACTCGAGTGGATTGGCGGCAATAGCACCTTTATCCACGGCGAAGCCACGTGGCACCAGTTCCGCACCGACCCGCTCAAACGTTTCGAGCCGATAAATTCGGGTTTCCTTGCCCACGAAAAAATTCATCGTCATCGACAGTTCGGGAGTGTAGCGCAATACACGTAGCAGATGGAGGAATTTTAGAACCGCATTCCCGACCTGACCGAAGGGGAAAAAGTACAGTCGTACCTCGCCGAGCTGAAGACCGAAGTCAAACGACAAGTGGCAGCGTCAAACTACGCAAACTACAGTGACGTCGTTTCGGCAGCGGAACGCTTCGACATGGTCAACGCTAGGATACGATGGATGCACGTCGGCAGTAAACGACAGGGCGACCACTCGGCTCACACCACGTTCGCCGACCCAATGGAAGTCGACAGGTTCGAGAGGCGGCCACGTTCGAAAAAAACCAACTACACGTGTGATTTTTGCGAGGTGCCGGGTCATCGAATCTTCGACTGCAACAAAATGAAAGTGGCACACGCAGAGTATCGGGCACGCAACAGTAGCGGAAATCCTTCGGCCAATCAGAAGCCAAAAAATGGAGCTCGCCAGTGATTGCGGATCTAACTGGCGAAAAAGAAAAGATCCAAAAGCGGCCGCGGACTTCCGGAAAAATCAACTTCGACGTAGCTGATTCGACGCGAACAGGAGAAAACAATGGGGAATAATCTCCACCCCACGACCAGTCTTTGCCAGAGGAAATCGCCGAGGAAAAATATAACTCCGCGAAAAAGGACTCTGCCGAGACGGGGAAACTCCTTCAAGACCCAAGAAAGTATAAGGATTCGTTAAAGTTATCTTACAAAGATGCTTTTATGAAAACTTGTAATTCTCGAGGGGCTAGAGCCTTGGAGAAATTTCGGGAGGGACTCCAAAAGAAGCAGAAAATTGTGGAGATCGTACCCGTACCAGAGAACTTGGGGACCAAATTAAGGAGTGTGGAAAGAAGCCGACCTTTCCACAGAGTCAACGTCCTCTCCCGACACTAACCCACAGCGACTATCCGTTCCCCAGGGAAGACGTCGGTGGAGCTGAAGCAGCTCAAAAGGAAGCTGGGGGTCTACAAGAAGTTACAAAAAACCCCGAACTCCTTTTTCTTCGGATGCATCCAACTCGGCAACATCGTCAACGACACGAACAGTCGTCACGGAAACTCCGGGCCCAGGAGTAGGAAGCAACGAATATTGGGATGTACCCTATGAACCAATCAATGAAACCATCTTTTGGTACAACGAGCAACGCCTGCCCCTCGTGCTCGAGGTCATCTGCAAAGGACGACACCTCCAAGCACTCGTGGACAGCGGAGCATCACACACCGTCTGCGACAAGGCTGTAATCGACCGACTTCGAGAAGAGTACAAGCCTTCAGGATTCTCTGCAACAATGGTGGATGGAAGCAAGTTACCAGTACACGGCGAAGCAGTGCTACACCTACAAATCGGGCCACTGCGCTGGAGACCTGCACTCCCCATCACCAACATCAAAGGGCTTGACCTGATCTTCGGGCGAGACTTCCTCAAGAAATTCAACCCCGAGATCAACTGGGTGAACCGCACCACGAGCATCCACAACAATGGACAGAGAGTACAGCTACCCAACTGGGACGAGACAGGAGATCTCCCAGTGGACACACTCGCACGATTCGAGAAGGACGTGAAGCGAACCGACACCAGGTTCCTGGCGATAGCAACAGAGGTGGGGAACTATAGAGAGAAGACCTCGGAACCTCCATAAAAAATCAAGGACTTACTGAAGGAGTTCCTGACGATCTTCCGAACGAGCTACCGCCATACCAAACGCATCAACACGAGATCGTGGAGGAACAAGGTTCGAAGCCGACCTTCCGAGCACCATATCGGCTCAGCCCTACGGAGCTGACCGACATGAAAAAACAGATCAAGTATCTCCTAGCCAAAGGACTCATCCGACCATCCACTTCGCCATACGGTGCCTAAGTACTCTTCACACCGAAACCGGACGGAAGCCTGCGCATGTGCATCGACTACCGAGCTCTCAAAAAGCAGACCATCAAGAATAAATATCCGATACCGCGAATCGATGACCTGCTTGACCAGCTTCGGGAAGCTACGGTATTTTCCAAACTGGATCTGTGGTCTAGATATTGGCAGATACGGATGGCGGACAACTCTATCCACAAAACTGCTTTCCGAACTCGGTATGGATCGTACGAGTATTTGGTAATGCCGTTTGGACTCACCAACGCATCAGCAACGTTCCAAGCCAAAATGAACCACATTCTACGACCACTTTTGGACGAGTGCGTGGTGGTGAACCTGGATGACATCCTCATCTACTCGCGCGACATGAAGCAGCACGTCGAACACCTGCGACGCGTCTTCGAAATTCTTCGACGAGAACGATTCTACGTCAAATTGTCCAACTCTTTGTTCGTTACATCATCTCACAGCATGGCATTCCAACCACACTCATCTCCGATCGAGACCCCAAGTTCACCAGCAAGTTCTGGAAGGAACTTATGTCTCTTCTCGGGACCAAACTCACCATGTCATCCGCCTACCATCCGCAGACTGATGGACAGACCGAGTACATCCACCAAATTGTGGAGCAACTCATCCGAGCAGCCTGCAAGGACGACATCTCCAAATGGGACTTGCATCTACTCGTCCTGGAGTTTGCCTACAACAATGCCACTTACGCCGCTACTGGACAGACGCCGTTCTTCCTCTGTTACAGACGCCACCCACTCACACCTCAACAGCCAACCATACCAGCCACAGTCCAAACCGCTCATGATTTCATCACAACCATGCACAAACTTTGGGATCGGACCCACAAGCGCCTTCTCGACATTCAGGAACAACAGAAGCGCCAAGCCGATTGCCACCGCACAGACCACACCATTACCGTGGGAGACCGAGTAGTCCTGGACACATGCAATCTTGACATCAGCCATCTCCCATCCAAACTGCGACCTCGCTTCTGCGGGCCTTTTCTCGTTGAAGCACAGGTCACTCCTGTTACCTTCCGCTAACGCCTGCCAGCTACGTGGAACATTCACAACGCTTTCCATGTCCAACTTCTGAAGCCCTATCGGGATCTGAACACGATCTTCGTCGGACGCCAATTGCCGCCACCGCCGCCCGTCCTTGTCCATAATGAACTCGAGTATGAGGTCGAGTCCGTGCTTGCTCACCGCCGTTGACGGAATGGCACCGTGGAGCTTCTCATCCGTTGGAAGGGTTATGATCCTTCTCAGGACACCTGGGTATCTGAGACCGACATGGGTAACGCCCGTCGTCCTCTGCATGACTACCTTGTCAAGCAGGGTTTTACTTCTACCACCCAGCTTTGAGGGGGGGAAGTGTGAGAGTACGACCCCGTTACACCACTTGTTCCTTCTTCTCTTTCCTTCCTATTTTTATTCCTCCTCTTATCTCATCTCATTTGGTTTCCTATTCTCCATTTTCCATTCAACCTTTGGTTTATCCTGCTATTATAATTATATCACCGACCAGGCTTGGGATGTACTGGTGCGCTATCTGGCGTAATCCTGCCGTAATTCCTTAAAGCCAATAGCCTTGCGTGGCTATACGCAGGGTGATTCTATCTTCTAGAAGGGTCTATTCCCTTAGGATAAGATAAAGCTGGTTACCTGATGTACTTTGGAAGTATAAAAGCGCCTTGTACTGATCGATAGTGCAATCTTTCCTCGACACATTCGATCCTGTGACAGCTGCGGTACTTCCTCCTGCGCGAGTTGCAGCAGTGCCGCCAGGCCCGCGTAGTTCACTTGGCCTCAGGTGCCAACACAGCTGATATCTTTACTAAGGCACGTGCGCCTAAAGATCACCAGCGGCACTGTGTACAGCTTGGTCTTGTTCCTGTAGCTACTCACCTGTTAGGATCCTGATTGTGTACTCTCTATTATACATACCTGTCAAACTGGCCTTGTGGCCTTACCTCCAGTGGCTAGACTAGTAGTGCCACCCTGGCTTGCTTTAGACTTGTTTGTACTCTTGCTGACTGGTCTCCAGACCCCTGCCTCAGTGGTTGGACTAGTAGTGCCACCCTGAGCTGTTTGCTTCTTGCTTAGCTTCACCCCTTGTCTAGCCTAGGGGGTGTGTCAACTTATACATATTAGCTATGTAGAAGTTATAGGCTAGACTGGGGTATGCTCCTAGTGAGTACGACCAACTAGTATTTGTTCTAGGTTTCTTCTTCTAGTTCATTCATTCAGTTCTGATTTTAATAGTTACAGTATATGCGTGGAGCTTCAGCTCCAAAATTTGGCTCATTTGCCTTCTCACCTTTTGCGCAGCAGCCACAGTCGCAGCAGCAGCAGCCCTTCTACATCTTTGGGCGTTCACCTGCTCAACAACAACAACAACAGCAGCAACAGCAACCTCAGCAATAACAACAACAACAACAACAACAACAACAACCACAACAACAACAACAACAACAACAACAACAACAACAACAACAACAACAACAACAACAACAACAACAACAACAACAACAACAACAACAACAACAACAACAACAACAACAACAACAACAACAACAACAACAACAACAACAACAACAACAACAACAACAACAACAACAACAACAACAACAACAACAACAACAACAGCAGCAACAGCCACAGCAGTTTCAGACACAGCAACAACAGCACCAACCTCAACAACAGGGTATTATTTTTCAACCGTCGAATTTACTTAACAACACACAAATCAAGACCACTATACCTTTTAACGGAGTGGATTTTTACTCTTGGAGCTTCGAATTCGAGCTTCTGGCGCAGTCCGCTGGGCTATGGCCGTTCTTCACCGGCGAATTTATGTATCCTGTTACGGGAACACAACTGGAGCAGCAAAGTTTCTTGCACGCCTCTCTCGGGGCGTATACGGTTCTTGTTCAAAACCTATTGCCAAAGGAGCAGCTCGGCGTCCGATCTTTTCATTCAAGCTTTACGCCAGCTGAAATTGCATGGGATCACCTGAAGGGGGTATACATGGCAAAAGATACAATAACTGTGAGTAAGATTCTTTGCAAGTTGACAAATGTGCAGATGATGAGAAACGAGAATGTCATGGATTACGTTAATCGAGTACGCACACTACGAGATCAACTGGAGAAGAGTGGTGGATACTTCCCTCGTGAGATGTATCTCATGGTCCTTCTTGCTGGCCTTGGACCCAAATGGCGACAGACGCGCACCTTCCTGCGCATGAACTCGAACCTTTCCGAAGCTAAAATTTCGTCGTATCTTCAAGCGAAACAGCAATATATTGACCTGCAATCACAACGCAACAAAAAGGGGGATATACAACTCAGCTTCTAATCAACACCAACTCGACGTCCTCGATACTTCTGTCAGATTTGCAACAAGGGAGGACATTCTACCAACCGATGCTACTTTAACAAGAGGTATTTACCTCCTGAAGAATCGCAGAGGTCGCAATCATTACAGCAACTACGACAGCCTTCGAAGCAGTCTTTGCAGCAGCCTGCGCCTCCAAAAGCAACATCTGCAACATCAACAACACCAACGTCACTCAACTGTGTTCCTCCAATCAACTTATCGAAGCCGGCAGCAAATAATTCGAACTCTGCCAACAAAACGGTAACGTCAAGATTTTGCTTACCGAATACAAACACTCACATGGCTGGTTGCAGTACAGATACCGATACTTGGTACTTGGATAGTTGTTGTGGCCACCACATGGTATCTTCAACAAATCCTTTCATCTACAATCGTCGTCGACTTCTTCAATCCTGCCCAATCACACTCGCCAACGGTCAAACAATTGCAGCAGAAAATATCGGCAGTATCCGTTTGACATCAATCAATACAGGAAACTCTTTACGCCTTACCAACATTTTACTCGTCGATAACCTCGGCTTCAATTTAGTGTCAACCAACCAACTGTTGAAGAAGAAAATCCGCACGGTCGGAAACTGCACGACACAAGAGCAGGAGTTAATACACGATGTGGGCCACACATACATCGGAAGAGCAGCAACAAAAAATGGCGTATTCGTTTTACGCTTCAAGGCAGCAAAATCTTCCGAAGATGTCACTCTCTCTCAAGCTCCGTCAATCATCGCAGCAGTAGCTTTGGTAACCACTCCACCAATGGACTTTAGCAGCATCGAAGTAGAAAATCCGAATAGCAGCACCACCGACATCCTTGGACACACCTGCCGTTAATATCAAGGAAGATATTATTCAAAACAACGAGGAAACTCTGCTACTCGCACCTGAATTATTCTTCGACGCTACAACTAGTCTCGACAAGCCTTCTGACAATTCTTCATCTACCCGTATTCAAGAGAAAGGTTATGCACTCTCAAGATTTTTACTCCCTTCATATTTCATACTCTCACTACTTGCTTGGCTGGCCATAGCAGCAAGCGAGCTTAGTTCCACGTTGCAGACTTTCCTATACTACAGAGAAGCCGATTGTCACACTACGACCTCCCACGACTACGAGCAAGGCACGGGCATCAACTGCTACCAAACCCTTCGTCATCGCGTTCAACAATGCAACGAAGCAGAACGGTTGAACAGTATCCTACACGAGCTACGTGAGCAGCTGCATGCACTGCTGACTCACTAAATTTCTCTGCCCGAAACTGCACCATCAGATCTGCGCGTCACTTCACGGTTCTTTGTCAAGCCTCCAAATGATGTCGAGGCTCCTCTCCACCACGTGCAACACTCTCGTGGTTTTGCATTCGTCCCTTCGGCCTTGCCACGTTCATTGGCGCAACTCCAACCACTTTCAACCCGACTCATTTTTACTCTGCCGAAGTGAGGGGGGGGGAGGAGGATCTACACGTACTTCGTCAAAGCCAAAATTCGTCATCAACAAGGGAAGAACGCGATTGGTCTACCATTTAACCAATGGAATGACCGCCGACTACTTACAGCACATGAAGTTTACACGTCACAAGATTCCAAATTGCAGACTTCATTTGCCAGACTCCAACCAAGACGTGACTACATCGAACTTCCAGGAATGAAGGGGAGTGTTGTGATAAATGAAGTTTTCCATTCCTGCAAGTTCCGTTTTTTGTGTAGTTAGCAATATCGAGTTTCTCAGTAAGCATCCATGCCCGAGTGCTGATGTCAGCAAAACATCGCGGGTCTCGTGGATGACGTCAGCATACCACTTCAGTTACGCGAATAGGCGTAACGAGCCGCTTCAATCACGCGAACAGTCGCGACCCTATAGTATGACGAATAGGTCGCATAGCGCGCAACTAGCCGAACAGGTACTTTCCCTAGAGCTATAAATCCTTGTAATGCCTCTCTATTATTAACCTTGACTTTCCACAGAATTATGTGCTCAGGTTATTCAACCTTCGACTACCCACAAGTTCATGTGCTCAGGTTCACTCCTATAAGACTTCCGCTGTCTTACTAGTCTATCATTCCAGCAAAGATCGTTGGTTAAGTACTCGTGGTTGCATATTCTATACTTAGTCTCCTGCACCACCTGTCAAATTATTACAGTAAAATCCTCGCCACGCCGAACCAGACAGGGAAGTGCGCGCTATATTTTCATTTCGCTGCGCGTCGCTCGTCAGCGCGCTTTTGTTTGCTTGGCGGGAGTTGGGGCCTGTCCCGAGCAGGCCTCTCAATAGCCGGGTGAAACACCCTGCTTGCCCTGATTTTTTCGGTTATTTTTATATGTCGTCTTAAAAATCCGACCTAGTGTTTACCCATGTGTAAGAAATTGTTTACCTAGTGTTTACCCGTGATTCAGAATGTGTAAGAAATTGTTTACCCATACAGAAACCGGGTTCCGGAGCTGTGTACACTGATCAGCCAGGGTGACGTTAAAATTTCCCTGATACAGAAACCTTCAAGGACCAGACTGGTGGCGGATTTCGAGCGCGGGATTAGATGCATGCCCCCCGCCACAGGTATATTCGTGCTGGTTTTCCCGCCCATTGGCACATGCCCTGTGGCAGACTCCACCTCAGACCACACCTCGTTGGCTCTGCGGCGTGACCTCATTGGTCGGTTTGGCAGCTTTGGTGCTGCGCTGCCATGGTCCCATGAACAACGCAGCAAGAAAACCTAGCAGGCAGCAGCATGCGATGCGACTACAGACCATTGAAACTGCTTGCGTGCATGCCGCGTGCCCCCCTCTCTTTCTAAGCCCATCACCTGCGTTCTGGAAAGACCCACCTGCTTCATCCCTTTCTTGCTCAAGCAGGGTCTCTCAGTATTCCTCACATCTCTGTTTCTCACCAATCTTATTCCCGTCGTCTTTCCTCTCACCATGGACAGCGACAACGATACGGACCAGGCAGAGCCTCCTCCTAGAAACGGGTTGAGTGTTATGGGGGTTTTCCCTTTATTTCCACCTACTATTCCCAACGTGCAGCCTACTAGTCCCACTCGCCCCTCTCGCCTCTCTCCTCCTCGTCACCAAAAGTATCCCTTGTCACCTCTCTGCTCGCCGCATGATGACATGCCTGACCTCGATGTGGAGCATGTCGAGGGCACGTCCGAGCCCGCTACCAGCTCGTGGGAGTCACCCGCCGACGCATCAACGAAGCGGAAGGCGTCCGCTCACTGGACGCAGCGTCCTCTGCCCTGGGCACCGCCACCGAAGAAGCCTGCCCCCGCGCCAACTCCACCCCCTCCAACTCCTAGCTCAGGGTTGAACCCCTCATCCCCCGCTGATGCTGAGTACACTATAATCAAGCGTCGTTTTGTCGACGACTGGTCTCGCATATTTCTTTGGCTGCGATTGACACGGATGAAAAATGGTCGTCTTGCGTTGAAGTGTGCTGTGTGGTTGCAGTTTGGCGACGCGTTTAGCAACACCAACTATGGGAAAAAGGGCGACGGTGCACGTGACCTACAGGTGGGAAGCATCCGCATCCATGTCGGCACGCGAGCGCACAAAAATGCACTGAAAGCCAAGGAGGAGCGGGAGAGAGAGAATGAGCAGCAGCACACGCTTGACAGGTGGCACACGAGCGACTCCTCGACAAAGCATCTCATACGGTGCTTCCATATTGCCCTCTAAGTCTGTAAGGCTGACGCTCCCATCGTCATGTACGTCGCCCTATGCTACTTCCTTTTGTCGGAAGGTTTGCCTGACGTGCCGCAGGGAGGGGCGTACGGGACATACTACACTGAGTAAGTCTCTAAGCTCTTTATATTTCCTGCACCATGTTTGTTCGCACATGACACGATCTGCTGTTGTTTTGTTGTAACGCTATTCTAGTTTCTGTCGCTTATGTGCATGATGCTCCCGCACTACAGGTAGGGCTTCAAACAGGGAACAAAGGCCATATCGAACTACCTGAGAGACGAGCAACCTCAGCACCTTCTCTCTTCCCCCTACGTCAGCATTGCAATAGATGAGAGCACGGATCGCGTCCATGGCAAACACATGATTCTGTATGCCACCTTCTTCCGCGGCAGTCACGTCGTTACCGAGTTCGTCGCAATGCTGTCGGTGGAGAGGACCAATGCCACGTCGGTGACCGCCGTCCTGCTGCAGCTTCTCTCGTCGATTGGCCTCGACCTGCAGAGGATTGTTGGCATGTCGACCGATGGGGCTTCTGTGATGACGGGCACCACATCCGGGGTCGTCACCAGGCTAAAAACCCGCATCCTACATCTCGTCGCGACTCATTGCATCGCGCATAGGTTTGTTGGGTCCCTAAATTGATCTGTGTGTTTCAACAATCGCCTACCATGTTTCCTTGTGCCTTGCATCCCCCCCTCCCCCCTCCCCCCCCCCTCATCCCCCCCTCCATTACCACCCGTTTCAGAGAGGCCTTGGGTGCTAAGGACGCTGCGGCTGCCGTTACAGAACTCAACGTCATTGACATCCTCATCCGTGCTTTCGCCGACCTCGTCGGGCGGTCGAACGTCCAGCATAGCACCTTTAAGAACATTCAGCTAGTCTACTGCAACACCAACCTCGAGGCGCAAGGCATCTACGCCATTCGCTGGTTGTCTCGCGGGGAAGCAGTGGTGCGCTACGTCGAGGTCCTCCTCGCTGCTGTGGTTCTGCTGCGAGGTCATCCTGGCGGGCTGTATGAGGTAGTTACATCGTTCAAAGTACAGTACATGCTATACTTCCTGGCAGACATCCTTGAAGAACTAAACCACCTCAACACCCGATTCCAGCAGCGACATGTATCGGGCGCTTTTCCCTGTTGGCCTCCCATCTGCCTTTCAATCGCTGAATGCAACGTGCATGAGTCTTTTGTGCAAAGCTTGTGTCAAAGCAGCTCTGCGTGACAAAGTCTATTTGCGTCTTCTTTTTACAATTCCTTCGTTCTGCTTGTGCCACTTGTATTCCGAACCCCACTCGCAGGTTGACATGACGGTCGTTTCGTCTCTTGTGGACAACACCTGCAACCGCATTACCAACCGATACATCATGTGCAGAGGGGGAGTGTACTTCGGCAACAGCGGCAGCGTCAGGCTCGGGGAGTTCCTCCAGGCGCATGGGTCGCCCAACAACAGGCGGGTGCGCATCCAAGGTGTGGACAACGAAGGCAACGCGCAGTCGTTCGAGTACGTGCTGCACGAGCGCATGGTGGACGGGCACACCTCCGAGAGCGACCTCGACTCATGCGCTGTTGTCTGCCGCAAGTTCGCAGTCGAGCTCGTGGGGAGTGTACGTGGCCGATTGAGAAGTCTTAGTGACATGGAGGGGTGCAAGCTCTACAAGGCGAAGACGTACCCGTTGGATGATGAGATGCGCCTGGCGCAGTGCAAGCAGTGGTTGAAGTAGAACCATGGCCTCTTTGGAGGCAAGCTTCCTGGTGAGAGAATTCATGGTAACTCTGCTTATACTCCATGTTTGCAGGTTCATAAATACATACATACGCTATTGTTGCATGCTCCCCGAACCGTTGTTCACCAACCCTTTTACGTGCAACCGTTGTGATCCCTTGTCCAGGCTTCGACTACAACAAAGCCGTCCAAGAGCTGTGGGTCTTCACTGCGGCGATGATGTCGCAGTACAAGGACGACGGATTCCACCAGTGGCTCGCCTTGACACTGGACAACAACGAGTGGCAAAGATCATACCCCAACATCCTCCGCCTCTGGCAGGCACTCGCCGTCCTTCCCTTCAGCACGGTCAAGTGCGAGCGGGGTTCTCGAAGCAAAACCTCATCAAGAGTTGGGAGCGTGGGTGCCTTGGAGATGACACCCTGGGGGACCTGATGCGGTGCTCCCTCCTGCAATACAACATAAAGTGGTTCGATGTGGTGTCTGTCTTCCGCGGTGAGAAGCCACACCGTCCCCTTCGAGATCTGAGCTCGGCCAACCCCACCTCTGTCGAAGATGGAGGGGCCTCTACCAGTGAGCCCACTCCATTGGTGGAGCCGAGAGGATGACTGACTCTGTAGGCTTTGGGGTATGCGCATAGTAGAGAGATGAGTAGAGTAGAGTAGGTGTGGTGCTGGTGGTGGTGGTGCATAACACTAGCAGTGGCCTTTGTGGGCCGTACCGTAGGCTCTGTAGGGACAATTCTCACAAGATGGGCATGTGCTGATTCCTAACGATTCATGGAGTGCGACTGTGCGAAGGCAAGTTTTAGTGAAAGGAAGACGGGTGTTTTGAAATGTACTTTGAGAGTGCAGTCTAAGAATTTTTTTACCCTGCTATTTCAGACTTGGATTTTTTTTCACCTTAGCATGCAGGGTAAAGTGTCTCAAGCACTCTGATTCGTAAGAGTGGGCCAAAACCAATTTAGAGGCCTGGTCCCGAATGTGTTTGTAGGAGCAGCCAATAGGACGTCCCCATGCGACGCTGAGGTGGCTGCCCTTGTTTCTGAACTTGGCGTAACAGTCAGGAAAGGAGATCAATAATGAAATTCACGTTTCTTATTCTGATCCTACTTTGTAGGAATTCGCCCTAAGAATAGAATCTGCAGACACAAGTACTTGAAGTAGAAAGTAATACTGGAAGTACCTCCAGTAACAGCCACTATTAACAAGTTGTAACACCAGAGTCAGTGTTACAGCCTTGCGATACTTCAAGACTTAACCAAGGATCTTTGCTGGAATGGTAGACTTGTAAGACAACGGAAGTCTTAGGACTTGTAAAGTGTTGACCAGAATTTACTGAAGAATAAGTTAACAATTGAAGTTGTACAAGCTACTTTTATATCTGCTAGAAGTACCTATTCGGTGATGTACCTGTTCAAGCTATTTGCGCTATGCGCTCTAACCGCTACTGAAAAGAGCGCGACTGTTCGCGTGACTGAAACGACTTGCTGACGTAATCATCCAGACGAGTGCTATTTGCTGACGTCATTCTACGGATGCTTACTACAGTGTAACTCGACAATATCTATCGGGACTACTTACAGAAATGCTGAAGTACGATTTTATCACAACACCTTACTGAGGCTTGCTACAGAGCGTACGACTCGAACAGTCCCGAACCGGCGACAGGGTCCCAGCCCTTACAGTTCGAGCCTGCTGGACCATTCTAGACCTTGCTTCGACACATCGAGAGGCCCCTCGATGGTTTTCCCTTACCTTCTGATCAACATTCAGGATCACCCTAGGTTTACTATATATTGTGTTGTCTTTCTTTTTTTATTGATTCACTCGTTCACTGTTTCGCCATTGCACTCCGCGCTACCCGGCATTTCCATTCCTAACACTTGGTTCCAACCAGACATGGTTACTGTCTGAGAGTAGAAAAAAGTAACTACAACGAGGCATACATGTTGGCTTTGTTCAAATGTTTGTACCCTCTAAGAGCTTGCACCTATCTAGCCTATTATAACATATACAAATACGTTTGACACACCCCCTAGGCTAGATGAGGGGCACTGCCTAGAAGACGACACACAGCTCAGGGTGGCACTACTAGTCTAACCTCTGAAGCAAGGGTCCAAAGACCAGGAAACAAGAGTACAAACAAGACAAGAGCAAACCAGGGCGGCACTACTAGTCCAACCACTGAAAGAGAAGCCACGAGGCCAGTCAAAAAGGTATATAAAAAGGGAAGTACACAATCAAGGTCCTAGCAAGTGAGTAGCTACAGGAACTAGACCAAGCTGCAAACAGTGCCGCTGATGATCTTTAGGCGCAAGCGCCTTAGTAAAGATATCAACTATGTTGGCACCTGAGGCCAAGTGTACTACGCGGGCCTGGCGACTCTGCTGTAGCTCGTGCAGGAGGAAGTACCGCAACTGGATGTGCTTCGCTCTGCCCTCCAATCAAGGCTCTTGACACAGGAGGATCATGGCCCTGTTGTCAGCGTACAAAACTGGGGCAGAGCTAGGCCGCTCACCTAAGTCTGTAAGCAAGAACGTCAGCTAGCAGAGCTCCTGTGCCGCCATGGCACCAGCGTAGATCTCAGCCTCGCAGCTGGACTGTGCAGCTGACGACGAACCAGTGGACCTCCACGAGACCGCGCCTGCACCAAGGCTAAAGCAGTAGCCCTGGGAGGATCTGAGGGTCTCAGCGTTGTCTGCCCAAGAAGCGTCAGTGTGCCCAGTAAGGACCACTGGCCTGCGTCCTCCCAGTACTAGCCATATGCACGGTGTACTTGCTAGATAATGCAAAACCCTTTTAGCGGCCGACGAGTGCCGCGGTCAGTGTCTGCCTAGCCACGATGCTGAGAGGGTATGCGAGATCAGGACGAGTGCAAGTCATCAGGTACATTAGGCAACCCACCAGCTCTGTGTAAGGACCACTGGGCTCTACAGACTCCTCAGAAACAGGAGCGAAGAGCCTGTGGTCTACTGGCAGAGGTGTAGGTTGTGCCGAGGAGAACTGAAGACCGAACCTCTTAAGGACCTGGCGCACCAAGTGTAACTGTGTGAGAGTGATGGTGCGCGCTGCTCTGTAACTGGAGATCTGCAGGCCAAGGTAGCGGCGTAGCTCTCCTAGGTCAGTGTGCCTCCTCTGGAGCTCGGCCTTCACAGAGGCCAGTGCGTCTCTGTCTGCAGTAGCGAAGACCAGGTCGTCTATGTAGACAAGGATGTAGAACTGAGTCTGGGCAGCACGAACGAAGAGCGAGGGGTCTGCAGAGGACGGAAAGAACTGCAGGTCAGCTAGCGTAGCACAGAGTGTGTCGTGCCACTCACGGGCCGCCTGTCGCAAGCTGTAGACCGGGCGCCGGAGGAGCCACTGGGTCCCAGGCGGGAAGGTATCGGTGAAGCCCTATGGACGGCGCAGGTAGACGTGCTCGTGTAGGCTGTCCTGGAAGAAAGCAGTGTAGAAGTCGAGGGAGTGGAGCTCGTAGTCACGCTGTGTTGCTACATGTAGCAGCGCTCGAAGAGTAATCATCTTCGGGGTTGGGGCGAAGGTCTGAAAGAAAGTCCACCCCCTCGCGCTGACTAAAGCCTCAAGCCACGTAGCTCGCCTTGAACACAGCCAAGCCGATGCGTTGCTCTGCGACCCCATTCTGGTGTGGGGAGTCCGGTAGAGTGTATGACTAGGTGATGCCCTTCACACGACAGAACCGGCCAAGCCGAGCGGAGGCAAACTCGCCGCCATAGTCGGAGTGGAGACACAGCACGGGGGGACCTCGGTGGACTCGCGCAGCTACAACCCACGAGATCAGAACATCAGGCATGTCAGCCTTATGCTCCAGAGGAAACACCGTGGTGTAGCGCGTGTAGTCGTCGACAAGCACCAAGAAATAGCACTCTCAACACGGCCCAGGGACGGGGGCTGGATGTTAGACGTCCAGCTGCAAGGTTTGGAATGGCCTGGTGGCAGGGCGAAGCGAGGAGGAGTGAGGAGCACGGCACACCCGGACCTCGACGCAGGGCATGCACGGGGGCGCTGGCAAGAGAGGGAGGGAAGGCAGCGATGCGGGGAGACCTAGGACAAGACCGTGCTGGGACATGTGACGCACACGCGGGAGTGCAGGGTGACCGAGGCGGTGATGCCATAGCAGCGACGGGTGATTGAGCGACCGACACGAGCAAGCCACGGCTACTTGGGGGGACGCCCTCACCAGGGGGGGGCGTAGTGTTAAACGTAAACAGGCCGGACACATGGGGAACGTTGCAAGGGGGGCACCTGAGGCGCACTCGGTTCAGGCAGCGTACCACTCGTGTCCGGGGAATGTGGTGGTGACGCCGAGGTCCTGAAGACAGCCGACACCAACTAGGTTCCTAGAGAACGAGGGGATGTGCAAGCCTGTAAGAGTCCTCGAGGCGACCGCCGGACAGGGAAGGGTTGTGGAGCTACGTGCAACTACCAGACCGGAGGAGGGGTCTGCAAGTGCGATGGTGGCAGGGGCGGCAAGCGGCGTAAGGGAAGTGTGATCGCGGAAGAAGCAGATAGACGCACCGGAGTCGAATGTGAAGGAGAGCGAAGGGCTAGCGGCTACCGGCGGAGGGGCTAATATGGAGCCCAGGCTAAACAAGGCACGAGATCCTATGCTTGACACAGCAGGGGAGCCTAGACTACACACGGTGGACACACCTATGCTAGGCAACATCTGGTAATAGGAAACAATCACACTAGAGTCATGAGCATATATGACAGACATAGCATTCCTAATCGATCCATGTCAACCTCAAACACTGGCACACGACGGCGCGCCAGGGCGTACCAGTCCGGAGGGTCCGATGCAGGACCGAAGCAGTGGCGGAACAGGTCGTCGAGGTGGTGGTAGCAGCGGTTGGCGGTGTGGCCAGGTCGGAGGCAGACACGTGCCGCGCCGAGGGCCGGTCTGAAGCTGGTACTGGCAGGTGACCCCGCTAGAGCTGCCACCCGACACCGAGCTGCGTCCGCCCCCCCCACGACCACCGCCGCTAGCGCCGCCAGTCCACCACATCGGCGGGGGTCCCCACGGCGACTGTAGCTGCTGCGCCGACTACGGCGGCGATTGCGGCTGCTGCAGCTGCTGAGGTTCCTACTGCTGCTGCTGAGGCTGCGGCTTCTGCTGCGGCTGCTCCGGGGCACCAGCCCCGGTCCCCTCGTCTGAACCGCCGTCCCCGCCCTCACCGCCGCCACCCTCCGCACTGCCTCCCCCCTTCCCTCCACCACGCCCCCCTTTGGAGCGGCGACCCTTACCTGGACACTTCTGCGCTGAGACGTCAGAGTAAGTGCACCGGGAGGGAGCACAGCCCTGAAAGATAGGTACCGCCGCAGTACCGCTAGACTGAGCGATACCGTGCTGGCGGGTCTCAATCTCAGACAGGACAATGACAAAGGTGGCGAGAGTGAGGTCACCCAGGTGCTGACTAAGGAAGTGGTCGCGAGCAGTGGCTAGGCGGTCAGGGAGGCACCTGACGATGAGATAAACGGTAGGGCCGAACAGCGGCGGGAAGGCAGTGAGCTGTGCCTCAGTGCTAGCAGCGCGGTCGCTTGTCTCAAGTGCGCGAAGGTGCGTGGCAAAGTCGGCGACAATGGGGACGAACGCTAGATCAGGGAACAGCATGGGAAGGATCAGGCGACCGGCAGAGGCAGTGGCGGGGGTGGAATAGCGCGCAATGACAGCATCTAAGAAGGCCTGGGCGTTCGCTACAGTGGTGAAGCAAGGACACTCAGACAGCGGGAGTGCACGGCTGATAGCAAGCTTGGCGATAGCGTCGCGTGAGTCCCAGACGGCACAATC